AACTACGAACTCAGCTGACCAAGAATCCACAGCTCTCATCAGCCCTCCCAAATGGACATAAGCAATATAGCAGTTGCGACCATCTAACTGACGAGGACACAGCTCTCCCATTTCCGTTTCCGCTTTTGACCGAGCCTCATTACATATAGATCAGGCTCCCCGGAGCAGCATATAGTGAGAGCTAGAACTACACCGCCTTTGACAATGCATTTGATCGTTACTAGGTTGGAGGTTATTTCAACATTTGCTGCCTGCAGCGTTGCAGACATCTGCATTGCCACCTACTTTCTCATCGATATGAAGCAAAAGTTAACACTCTTTCGGACGACCCAATATATCCTAGCTATTGCCGCAATAGTTTCGTGTGGAATTCTCTTCGCCACATCCCCTCTAGAGGCACAACTACGCAGATTCGCGAGCATAAACTCGTTGCGGGCATTGAGTAGCTTGTGCACATGCATGGAGCCGGTACGCCTTGGCATCCTTCACAATACTATATCTGACCATTACCAATTAGGTTAGGTTATGCTATCACCTCAACCAAACTGGATCAATTCGAGCGACAACGATTTTTTGGTTCAGCTTGCTATCCACGCTACTGCTACTCGGGGTTGGCGCCTGGCGATATGTTACGACTGGTTCGCAATGGCTGTGGCTCTTTATCCAGATGCCGAGCGCAATGCCATCGACTATGGCCTTTGCTCTTAGTATCAAGCTAAAGCTAAAGAAAAAACAAACTCAATGTCGACTCCTATGGGTTGAAGGTTGGGTAGCCGTTCCCAATCTCATCGCCATTGCATTAGCAGTGGCAGCTTGCATTGTTCCAAACACGCGAGTACCTGCCTTACACGGTGTCCAATTTCCTGGTCAGTTTGCACTAGGCCTGTTGCAAACAGTAGCCAGGGTTATCAGGAAAGAGTTATTCCCGACCCAGCAGCGCCCGAGCGATTCTCGCGAGAACCTGGTGGAGAGGACAGAGGCACAAGAGCTAGAGAACCTCGAACCACAAACGCAGTCTCACTTTGACACAGACTAGGACGTGGGGAAAGCAAGATGGCAACAAAGGGTTACACACTTCAAGCTACAAAGTCGCCTCTTCCTAAAAACACTAGCGAGTGAAAAACGGCGAGGTTGAGCTAGCGTTTTTTCTAGTAACGAAACTGTAGCTAAAGGGGTTGTTTCTTATAGGCGCATTTCGGATGCAAAGACCAAGTGCACAGACTCATTATGCGCTTTATCAGGAGCGATATCAGGGATTTTCACCAAATACTTTCATCATAAATATAAGCGCAGTGTCGGCGCCCATTCTTCTACACATCGCTCTAACCCTCAAACACCAGCCATGGACGAGTCTCTAACCGCAACTTTACACGGAGCAACCGACCTTGCTTTGCAAGGCACAAAAGGCGAACAAACACTGTGGTACATTACGCAAAATGCAAGAGACTTCTCCTCTTTTTCAACGGAAATTAAGAAGGCCGCAGACAGGGTTCTGCCATCTTGTGGGCAACCGCTGCAATTTTCAACACTGAGGACAACTCCAACGCCCCAACCGAAGATGTCTACAGCGATAACGTAGGTCGGTATCGCCGCGGTGCCGATGCTACGTTGAAAAAAGACAAGACTCACGATGAACAGAACTAGACTGTGACAGGGGACATACTCAACGGGTGAATACGGCCCTGTTGCTTTGCTGTAAAGTTTGCTCCATACATGAATTGGTACTTTCTATGCAGATCGTAACCATGCGAATTTACCATATTGTGTAAAGCAAATGGCGACGGGCTCTCGTTAGTCGACGGTTGCGACATCCACATCAAAAAGAATGCCTTTTTGCAACAACACATACCTACCGATATTGTATATACGTCCCTACTTAGACACAGCATCTCCTTAAATCAGCTACCTGAGTTTGTTTTATTACCATGCTCCACCCTGGGATAGCCCTTCACGACATCGCGTATCAGGCTGCGTCACGTAAGAAGTAAGGCTGAACACTCGCAACTATATAAAGAGCCAGCTAAGCCGCTGCTAGACTAAATGATCTAACTATAAAAATGGAAATCGCTAGCGGTTTGACGGATGGACATTATCGCGTAAGTCCAACCGCGCAAAGCAATAGAAAGTAGCTAACTTGGGCAGCGGTGTCGAACCAAAAGAAGGAACACACCAGGATGGACGACTTTCTTCTTGAGAATATTGAGCTAGCGATATAATGTATCAGACACAAAGCAAGTCTCATGAGTGTTGTAGTTGGATCTTTGTGCCCTCTGCCTTTGTGTTCTAACCTTGAAGACAGACATCACTGATACAAATAATCGATGGACTGGATGGGTGCCGCACGTGCTTCAAAGTAGGTATTCATTGACCCGGACCGCGGTTTATGTTAACTAATCCAATGCAAAGCAACATCCAGTCCGGGTTCTACGATAACTTACAGACAACCTCGTGGGTGCCTCAAACCAGCCTCATTCACTTCTTCTGGAACGCCGCCGCTTGTTTTCCCCTCTTACCATCACCGCGTGGAGATTCAAGTCAATTAACCTCAAGACCCTTTTTTCTTGGGCCTGTTTTGCCATTATCGTCAGCTGTTGGCCTTGCCTCGTCGGGGTCAGTCACTGATCGCCTCCTCCCTCGCCTACAAATGACGAAACCATCACAGCACAAATCACAACTTTTTCTTCTGATGTGCTGTTTTGCTGCGACGCCCATCTTCCCTTGACAAATGTACTTCACACAGAAACAAACGCCACCCTGAAGACTTTTGGCGACGCGTTTTCGCGCAAGAGCATGGACAACACTTCCATTCCGGGTTGGTTTAAACGGTACCTCCAACTCTCACGACTACCCGTCGCCAGTATCTTTTTCGCCTCACTGCAGTCAGCCAGTTCCTTGTCACTAGTCTAGCTACGGACAGATGAGTTCCCTCGGCGGCGGCTTCTACAAGTACCGCTGTACTTCTTCCACTCTCACGGCTGTTTGGACTGGGTGTGGTTGAACAGTACGCCATGCGCAACCTGCCTCGTAAGTGCTGCGTCCCTTAGCTCTCGTACCACACTGACCAAATGTCTTGTCAAAAAAGGCCATTGGTCGTCATGAGGAGCATCCCTTATCGTCAGCTTGGTCGACGTCTACAAATAAAAAACGCGGGCCGTGACGTACCGCATGAATGAGGAATATAACGTGTGATGATCAACAGGGTTACTCCTGAGTTTGACTTTCCTAAGTCTCGAGATCTTGTTGCGAAGTTGACGCGACCAGAAGCATGGGTAGATGGATAGGGTCAAGAAGAATAGCAGTATTTTGTTCATGTCTTTTCAGTTCAGATTTGCCTCAATCTTTCGTTTTTTTGAGTTTAGATAAACAGCCGTCCTACTTCATAGGTACCAGTCCGTCTGTAGCAACTCGCAGACTTTTCATTTGCTCATCATTTGTAGTAAACACATTCGGGTGAACCATCCCCCCCAAACAAAAAGCTCACGCCGTGTTTGACCAGAAGGCCGATGGTATGTCGAAAAAGCGGAAGATGTCCTGCGATATGACGAATAAGATATGCTAATTTCTTCCGGCTATAAGCTCTGCAGATACGGAAGGGCGTGTTGTCAAGCCGAGGGCGAGGCAAAGGCAAACCGGCTACCTCTAAGTAGCAATGGATAACACCATGAAGCTAGAGACTCTTAACGAGCAATATATCTACACTATATATATTCCGTCTTCCCGTATTATTAACAACATACTCTACTTGACATATCTTTGGTTCTATTCGTCCTTTATACTTGATTCACAGCTCCGTATATTAAGTAAGTCATGACGCGGAGTTAGTTATCTATGTTACTAATCTGGTTAGATAATGTGTTCCTTGGAATTCGTTGAATATCGCTGTGGCCGATGTGGGAGGCAAAGTCAACCTACACAGCGCGGAGAAGGGTGGTGTCTCATCGCCTCTCGACGACACAAGACTTGCACAGTTCTTTCAGGCACGCCAATTACGAAGGAAATAGTCCAAAACTGCCATAACTCTTCATGCTATAAGAAGGATAAGGTCTAAGAAGCTCTATGATAATAAGACCATATTTCTTACTGGTCATGGGGATGACGAGATGGCTCTCATTCGTGGTCTAGATCCTTGTTATGCGGGACAGATGCTTCTAGGGTCAAATTGGAAATACTATAGACCGATAGTATTATAAATAGTGCTATAGATGCTGTTGCTTTTGTTAGCTACTTCAAAGTATGGCGTACATTTGGCAAAGTGAAAAATTTCAAAAGCCTTCAGACTATGAGGTGAGCGCTATAATGGAATAGTGAATAACAAGTCAAATCGTACGAAGTGACTATCCTTCTCGTGGAGGTGGGAAAAACTGCACGCGATCTACTCCCATCATATAAGGTACAGCTTAATGGCCGCGCAGATGCCTACGCGCTGTACGCCGACAGACCACGATAAGAAGACCGAAAAAACTATATCATCGACCTGTTCAAATGTGTGAACAAGAAGACAGATCTGTCGGGAGAGGACTTATTCAAGCATAGTCATGCGTGCATTCGACCCTGGAAGGATAATGGGGGGTGTTTGCTTATCATGAAGGGCGTTACTCTGAATGGGGACTTTCTACGGAGTATGGAGAAAGTGGAAGCAATGGAGTGGAAATATACCGACTAGTAGTATTCAATGCAATGGCTATGTAGGTACCTATATTAAAATTTCCTAACACATGCTCGGGCACCTTCTCTTGCCTAATGGGAAAAATCCCTTTTAAACGGCCACAACATCTGTCATGATCCGCAAACGGCATATACCCTACTGCGATTCTGCCTCGCGGCCCGTCCCTTTCTCCTTCCGTATTTAGTTTACTGGCTTTGTTCGTTTCCGTGTCTGTGTTGGCGTCCGCTCGAAATTCCTCATCGTCGGAGTCTTCCTCTGAGTCAGGTATCTCATCATCGAATTGCTGCCTGGATAATTCAGGGTTCGATTGCCCGGCAAACGAACGACGGCGAATATGCGCCAGCGCCTGGTCGTGACCAACGACCGAGTCAAGCCCGCTAGGGCCACTGTCACCCTCGCCTACTGGCTCGCCGCCCGCGTGCTCGTGGTACCTTGTACTGCACACATCCTTACAGTGACCGCAGTCACACAGCTGAGGCTCAATCGCTGATAGCTTCGCCAGTATGTCACTTAAAGCCTTTCTGTCAATAGTAAGCCTACCAGTCTCAACCGGCTCTCTCGTTTCAATTGGCGGGTTGGCACATGGTTTTGAGCTCGAGGAGTTGTTCGAGGCACTTTCATCGTCTGAGGAAATGTCAATGACTAGGCTGTCTGAAGACTTTTGACTCGGTATTGAGGACCTGGAAAATGGCGCGCTAGTGTGTGACTTCGTGACCGGCATCGCAAGTAAAGATATCTCAAGCTTTTTGCACGGAAACACAAGGAGCGGGATCGACCTAGGGCCCAACAGTGATGGGCAACCGCCACCCTTTTATAATTTCACTACCTCTACCTCTGTGACAAGATACCTAGTATGTAAAAGAAATACCTGCAGTGGTCGTGTAACGTCTAATCGCGCTCCCGTGTACGGCGTTGTGTTCGACAGACATCCAGCACGCGAGTACGAATGTGAGCGCGAGCAGCTTTGATGCTATGCGACCCGAGCGAGAGTTTGTGCAGAGAGGTGCAGTGCGTTATTTTTGCCAAAGGCCGAATAGGAAAAGGTGTGGAAGAGGTAGAACGAGGTAGACAAGAAAAATGGCAGGCGGAAGTCGGCCGTTGAGAATCGCGCTGGCGGATTGTGTTGACGCTGGGTATAAATGCCATCGTCTGCCTCCCTTATCCCTCGCCTTCGAAAAGCCAAGAAAAGCCGTACTTGCAACATAATATCATCATATATCTTCTTTAAAACTGTTCTTTCTACCATCTAACAGTCAACCAACGCTATTCGAAGTTAGTCCAATGACCGACCTTCTGACGCAATCTAACCACCTTTTTAGACATGGACCGAAATTGGGACCAGGATCATTTCAACACGCGCGACTTGGACAAAGTAGTGGTTCGCATTCACGTCTGTGCCTACGTGAACGAGTCCAATGCTGGCGATGAAGAGGGAAACCCGCCTACCAACCATTGGGCCATTTTCCTTGAACTTGCGGATCAGAATTCCGTCAGACTTGACATGGCCCCCGGTTATGGCTCTGATGGGTTGCGAGGCAAGATCGAGGTGGCTTCCAAGCGGTACCAGATGACCGTGAATGCTATTCATTCGCTGTCTTTTGATGTCACCCCCGGAGTTACTGTTCGGACTATCACAGACATCATCAGCAGCCACAAGAGGGAAGTACACATTCACTGAAGAAATGGAGGGTTGCAGGTTCTGGATTTATACAGTCATGTACGACTTGGAAGCGGCTGGAATTGTCGCTGCAGGCAGTGCGGCACTTGTTTGGCAGGCGGTCAGTTACTACTGGCGATACCCAGAAGGATGCGAGCAGCGTGAGGTTCGACAGGGCACTTTTCGCAAGTAAGGTCAGACGAAAACAGCTATGGGTGTGTTGGCCCATTTTGTTAGGAAGTTAGATTCAACTCTATGCACTAGAATCAGATAATTCGGACGACTCTAAAGCTTGCTCTAATCTCGGTTGAGTGACTTTTGCCTTGATATTGAGCGCCATCCTACCGGAAACCGCAGGAACTTCGTTCTGATTGCCCAGAGCTGTCTGCTTTGCTTCTCATATCGCCCAGCAGCAAGCCATGCAACAATCCACCAACGTAACCGTCCGAAATAGCCCCAACTCTCCGGTATCTTGAAATTCGACATAGATGCATACTCAAAATAGATTGGGTAGTACCCAGCGAGATCCCAATCAAGCAGCCATGCATCCCCTAACGCGTCAACCATAATATTGCGAGGTGCAAGATCATGGTGTGTGAGCACGAACGTTTTCGCTCGTAAATCTGAGGACCCTTCCAAAACCGCATGGTCGCGTTTGCTTTTTCTATATTCATGCCGAATAGATCTGAAATCTGTCCAAAAGGCCAAGAAATCCACGACGGATCTGGCGGTCGCCCTTGCAGGTAATCCAAACCGGTCATCTAACCAGAACGACCTGCAACTGCCCGTAACAATGGATCCAGCGGTGTGCGAGGTAATCGATCGCAGCAAGGATACAAAACGGCGAAGCTGGAAGGCCAGACGAAGGGACGCATACCAGCCTAGCTCAGGCTAGGCTTCTTCTATTGTCCGCCCCTCAATTCGTTCCATGACCAGAAACTCCACGTCTGGAAACTGAATCGCCCGTATCAGCTTTGGTGTTCGTATGCCGAGAGCTTGCGCAACTTCGATCGTTTTCATCGTATCGGCGAGGCAGTCCGGCTTGTAGGCTTTGGCGAGGAATCGGTCTGATAACAGTACAATTCCATCATGGCTTTTTGGCCGCGAGCTCTGCGCGATTAGTGTTTTGATTTCGGTATCCGAGCCATACAAGACTTTATCGTCCGGTAATTCTGTTGGCATGATGGTTGCGTTCGATGATATTGCTTCGGGTGGCTGCCCTTGACGTTCGAGGAGAGTCGCATGGCCGTCTTTACCTGTGGGTGGTGTAGTGATGAAGTAAGGGCCAGGCTTTTGGCTGTCTAGCTCAGTGGAAGCTGTAGGTGACAGTTCCCCACTCATCCTCCACCGCCCTGGAAGCTGCTTACGCGGTTGAGCTACGGTTGCCTTCCGCATGGCGATATCGAGCTCTGCAAGGCAATACGGAGATAAAGGAGATTAAATGTGATATTTTTCTTCGTAGAAAAATATGGAAGTAGATACAGTATACAGCGTACGAGTGCCAAAGAGTCCACTACTGTAGTAAAAACCAACTTGAACACAAAATTTCGCTTCGTTCCACGACGTGATAAGTTTGCTGCTTGCGGACAGAATTGCTCGCCGTGAAATGGTCGAAAGGGCCGAAAACAGTTGCCTTCTCCACTGGCTCTCACTACTATAAATTGCGGCATCAATCCACACCAAGCAATGCTGATCAGCAATCACAATGGCCCCTCAGACGAGAAACCAGACGGCAGACAATCAGCAGACGAAACCTAAAGAACAGAAGACAAAGCAGCGAGAGAAGAATGGCATCCCGAAAAAAGGTGACTCTGACAAGACAACAGAAACCTTGACGAAAACCCTCGAGGCCGCAGTGAATGCGTACGAAAAAGCAGATGACGGCAAAAAAGCGGAAATGCAGAATCAAGTGAATGTTCGTCAACCCCTTGATGAGCCGGATGCGATGACCGTGGACGATGAGAAGCCGCCAGTAGAGCAAAACGTGAAAAAAGAGCCTGAAGAGGGCAGCATGTTCGTGTCAATGACTACCGGCGACCTGAATCTTCCGTCAGAGAATGGCGAAAACTTGCCGTCAGACCAAAAGCCGTCGTCCGACACGGAGCAGGACCTAAAGCCGTCCAGTGACAACAACCACGAAAAGCGTCCAGCGCCGAAAGTCAGCTTCCAGTATGGCTTGGCAACGCCCTCAGTAGAGGCAGAAGACGAACTGGACTTGGTACTAGCAAATCCCGTGCGTGAGATCTTCCACGACGGCGCTTCTGAAAACGTAGGCTTTGCAAGGCTCGCGTTTGGCCGTCCTTTCGACATCGAAAGACAAGGGCCACCGAACGCCGCAAGGTTTAGATTCAAGCATCATAACGATGGGTACCTGGGCAAGAGTCTCGACGATATTTCGTACGGGACCGAAAGACAGCTCAACGGCGGAAAGCTTTATCAGTGCGGTGACATGTTGTCAATCCAAGGTGTTGCCTGGCAACCTCTCAAAGGGATCGACCACTACTCGTCACTTGCGCCCCGCAATTGGAAACAGGGAAGCAGAACAGTACGGCCTCCGATGCGTATCATGGTGAAATGGCTAGTCAAGGGTGAGGACGGTAAGGCTGTGGAAGATATGAATGGGCGGAGAGTAACGGCAACGAGATGGGAAAAGCGTGATGCTGTGTGGAGGTGCTGGGAAGACGAACGAGGCCATGGAGGTGCCACAGTTCTGTGTGAGGAGGAGTTGAGACTGGGTGAAGCTGTCATTGTGGAAAAGGGAGACACCGTCTCACTTTGTGACTTTGTGATTCTCACTGCTGCCTATCGATGCGAGGAACGATTCAAGGAATGGCAATCGAAGCAGCGACCGGGAAGAGACCGCTCTCCTACTCCTGGCCTGCCTCTGTTGAATAACAACGAGAAGCAGCCGGGTAGTGGAGAAAGCTCCGATGAGGCGCGGTCACCCCAGCATGCAAACATCCCCGAGGCTGAGGATCCCGCTGGCACTACCCACTAAGTAGTCGCTGGTCGAAGCTGCCATGGCTGGTCCAATGATGGGTGCAGTAAGCTTAGCAGAGGTGTAGAGATATATAGGTACTTGTGTCACGGGTTTCTCTTGTTTATTACAATGGATTGTATGCACTGGTATGCTTTGTGATCCGTCAATTCCTGGCAGTTGTAGCATTGGTTCGGTCTTTCACTGCGTCTGAAGGGTGCAGTCCTCCCGGAGAGTTCGCCGGCGCGAAAAAAACCCTCTGCGAGGAATCGTTTGGCGTCGGTTGCTGTTTCGAGATAGACCACAATAGAGCCATGCTGTTTCAGAAATCTGTCGCTCAGCCAAGCGACTTTAGCGATTTTGGTATCATTCTGGCTCGATAGCAATTCGGTCACGTTCGGAAGTTCCACTCCTGCTTGATCAAGCACTGCGTCTCGCGCAACATTGTCTACTCGAATTCGGTGTAGGTCGTCCCGGAGCACTCGTGTACCTTGGGGAAGTTTCGCTTCTGCAAGTTGCTTTATCTTTTGTTGTTCCTTTTCGTCTCGGCACATGACTCGAATGCGAGATGGGTCTTTAGGGTCTCTCGTAACGGCGCGGCACCGCCAGGTTGCGGATTCCTGCTCGGTTCTCATTTCTCGTTCAAGCGTGGACCGGATCCCACCGGCGGTCACCCTGGAGCTGTCTTCGACCGTTACTCGGGAGTAATCTATAGTGCAGTAGAACATGTCGGTCGCGGTCGAGGGCGTTGTCATGCCCGAGGATAGTGTTCGAATGTTGCTCGGCGCGCTTCCCGGTGGCGTACGCGCGATTTCAGCGTAGGTCGCTTGCGGACTGCTACCTGCGGTGCGCGATGCAGCTACAGCGAAGGTCTCGAGTTGCACTCGTACCTCCGTCAGCTCGGCCGTCGCTTTACGAAGCTCCTGTTGAAGCTCCTTGATTGAACTTCCTTGCTGCGTAGCCTTGTTGTTGAGGTTTCCGATCAATTCGTCTTGTTTAGCAATCGCCAATGTCTGTTCCGTCACTTTTTGCTTAAGCTCTTTCATTTCTTCCTTAAATTCTCTCGTCTCTTCGTGCGACTTTTCCAACAACTCCACCAGCTTCTGGAACATGCTTCTACCTGTTTCTCCATTGCTCCGCGGCTTTCGGCTCTCAGGCGCTGGTTGAAATTCTGACTCGACCGATTCGGATCGTGCATTTCGTTCATTGATTTCGTTTGCTTCCGCAGTCACTTTTTCGACCGTGTTGAGCGCCGTAAAAGTTTTCGAGCTCGCCCTCACGACGCGTCCGGATCGCCTCGGCAGGGAAAGCGGGCTACCAGAACGCGCTACGCGCCCCGCTGGGTCCGCCATCGTGGTGGATTCAGGAACCACCACAACACAACAACCTAAAAATAAGCAGTTTCAATCTGGATGATACTTTACCGTAAAACCCGACCGCAACAGTACAGTCGAGTTCCCTGCTCAGCTATTATACAGAGTGCGTGATATCTAGTGTTCTAAACAAAAAAAAGGGGGGGCTAGGGAGGGTTTCATATCCTAAAACACATAACCCTCTAATGTTATAAAATTCTAAATGTATTGCCCTTGACCTCTATTTTATAGGTTTATTGGTCAAGTCATGGTGGGGGAATAAAGATATGTAAATGAAAAGTAGTTGTAGATGCGATGCGTGGAACTGTCCAATATAATCGACCCTTTTTTCACATAGTATGGCTTAGCCCCGGCCCGCTCGATCGAAGGTGCCGGCGGGAAGGAAGCTAATGCAGTAAGTCGGTAGTATTCCTGATCGAAGGTGTGGCATTCACTGCCTACCAAATCACAGCGCAGACACACCAAACGCAGCCATGGCGACTGCAGCAAAGATGACACCAGTCTCGCGAGCCGCAGCGTTGGCCGACTGAGACGAGCCGGTCGTAGCACTGCGCCCTGCGGAGCCTGAAGCAGCCGACGAGCGAGTCGAGGTGGTAGCAGATCCAGTTCCCGAGGCAGCCGTTGAGAGGGAGTTCGTGTTCGACCTCGTTGGGTTGGTGCTTGTCGCGACCACGCTGCCAGAAGCTGACGTGGTAGTAGTTGCAGCACTGCCGGGCTACTCACCCGTGTAGGCCTCGATAGTCGGGAGAACAGTCGGGAGAGTCGGGAGAGTCCGGGAGCTTGGAGGCTGACGACAAGGCAGGGCAGTCGCTGATGGCGTTGACGATGTTTGTATACCAGGCAATCGCGCCAGAGGTGAAGCTGGAAGCGGCCTCGGTCAGCTTGGTCGGGACGCAGTCGCCCGTGGCTGCTTCGAGCGCGGCCGGTAGCGTGGGGCTAGCCTCTGCGAGCGCCAAGATGCTGCTCAAGCAGGCGGAAGAGTCTTCATCAGTCGCCTGCTGCTGTCCGTCAAGCTGGGTTGCCGCGGCAGTGTTAGCAAGTCCAACAAGGGACAGAGCGGAGAGGGCGTGGACACGCATCGTGTGTATCGGGAGGGCTGGAAAGGGGAGACTGGCGAGCAAGGGGGACTGGGAAGGGGAGCAGAAAGGACGGACTCTCGAGCAAAAGACTCCTAACTATATATTATCTACACACCTACGCACGAAGCAATACACACGAGGATCCATACCTACGAAATTGCGATTCCGCTTCCTACCGGCGGGACCACGAAGAGATTGTGTTGAAGCCGTGAGTGTGGGTGGACTGGGTCAACTGATAAGTTACATGGTGACGCTGCCTTAAAAAGCGGGTCAAAGCGGGATCTTTCAGGGGTTGCAGTGTTCGCAGCACAAGGCTTCGGAATGTGCCGGACAAGGCTTTAATTTAAGTACAGTAGCATGTTAACTTGGGAGGCGCTAAAAACAATTCAGTAGGCAACAAATTCAGTAGGCAGCAATTCAGTAGGCAGCAATTCAGTAGGCAACAATTCAGGGGGCAACAATCCAGTAGGCATTAAATAATAACATAACAGAGTATAACATAATAATCTATGGATCAGTGGAATGGATTGATGTATTATGTAATTGGACGTGATATTGAGGCGGCCTCGGCCTGCTAAAACTGTTACCACGATACTAGCGGCGTTCACGGTGGCCCGCTCTCCGTGGAATTTTCTGTGAATCACAACGGTTAGATGAGGGCAGTGCAAGCGGGGCGTATCAGGCTCGGTACTTTTTAGGTTATATTTCAACGGGCAAAGCGAGAGATTGAGACGAAATCTTGCAAGCCTGACTCGTTCGATAAAATGGTCACCTCGTTCGCTACGAGATGTCTTTACGTCGCATTACTCCTCTCCCTTGCTCAAGCGTGTACACCAGGACATCCCCAGAACAATTACGCACCGAGCCTCTTCGTACCATCTATGGCACGCTCCTGTGCCCGTTGCGGCGCGATGGAATCCGCCGACGAGTCTGCATCTCCTCACCAGAATATGGCTCATGAAAACTACCGTGCTATGGAATCTCAGCTCGTAAATGCGCCCTTGCACCAGGCGGCCCTCCACGGAAGCGCCCAGCGCCTGCACGAGCTGATTGACGACGGCGCCGACATCAATGCAAGAGTGTCTGCTCGGGAGCTGACGGCGCTCCACATTGCAGTGCAGTGGGATGATGAAGAGACTGCAAAGCTGCTCGTCGAGGCTGGAGCGAACGTTTCTGCGCCAACGTTTGATGGTGTAACCCCGTTGCATAACGCTGCTGCAGCAGGGTCGGTGTCTCTGGCTACCCTGCTTCTTGAGGCTGGAGCAAACCCGAACGCTCGCAACATTGATCACGAGACGCCGCTACACGTTGTAGCTCTGTTCGGGAATGACCGGCTGGCAGAGCTTCTCGTTGAGGCTGGAGCAGATGTGACAGCCGGAGATTGCTACGGCAACACACCGCTGCATATTGCCGCCGCTCATGAGTTTCTTGACATGGCACGATTGTTCCTCGAAGGGGGAGCTGATGTCAATGCCCGCAACAACAATGGAGACCCGGTGCTGCATCATGCAATGGCAGACAGGCCTGCTTCGGTCACGCTGCTACTCGACAACGGCGCCGACCCCTTGGCGACGGGCGAGGGAGGCGGAACAGCCTTGCATCGCGCGGTTCAGAGTTGCCCCGCGATAGTTCCGCGTTTGCTTGATGCTGGGGCCGACATCCGGTCGACCAGCACTGATGGAGCGACACCCCTTCACGTTGCCGCGGCGTGGGGGCGAACGGGGGGCAAGCAGCAGGTAGAGCGTCTTGTGGCTGCCGGCGCCGATATCCATGCGCTAGATAACAGCGGAGCAACCCCTCTTCACTATGCGGCAGCAGCATGGGGCAGTAGCGAACGACTGCGAGCTCTGCTCGAAGCTGGTGCCAATGTCAGCGCAACGACCAACGACGGGGAGTCTGCCTTGTATTGTACGTTGGGACACCCGTCTACCGCTTTTCAATGTCATGACAAGGACCTAGAGGAGAAGATTACAGTGCTAATCGATGCCGGCGCGGATGTCAACACTAGAACAACATATGGGCAGACGTTACTTGGTCGGGCACAGGAAATGGACAATCGTATTGTGATGCAAGCACTCGATGGGAGAGGGGCCATCCAGTAGTTTTAACACCAAGCGTGCGACAGAACATGTGACTACTAGCTACTAGTCTTGTATGAGTCCTGCCTTCTTATAGATTTCTCCAAGATACACTTACCTAATCGTGTGCGTGCTAGCTCCAAGAATGTGATGGCAAGATGCAATACTGCCAATGTATTCCTTGCTCAACATGTCGCTGGGATTCAATGGAATACACTCCTCGAGGTAGTGGCGCTTGGACTGATACGCGCAGACGACTATACAGCATGCACAGTTTGCATGGTGAATTACATGTGTTAAGTTAGAGAGTGTAACGTCGCCCACCCACTTATCGACCACCCCACCTCGCCCTCTTTAACGACAAACCTACGTGACTAGAATCGTGTTTTTTCGCGTAAAATAAATTCTATTATTATTATAATTTCACTATTATATTATTATAAGTTAATACACAGAATAAGACCTTTAAAACGCTATTTAAGACGTAATTAGTAGTATAAGTACACAAAAGGCAGTAACTCGCTAGTCTATCCCTTAGGGGGTAATGCACATACGTTTTACCACGCTTTGTTGAATGTGCCGGGCCGGGACGCTTGCTGGCCGCACATCTGCTATTTCCACTGAGATTATATCGGCTGTAGTAGACGTTGGAGTTTTCATTGCGGTTGCAACTTGAAATAGCTTCGCCCAACATCTGTATCGTATTCCGCAGCTCGAACGCATTATCCTCTCGCACGTTATGTCTATGCAATGGTACCTAGATCCAGGAAGACATGCATCAGGTGTAAAGATACCCTTCACCTCACCAGTGTTCTCTTCCAACGCCTCTTACGTCTCATATCCAGTAACGATAACTTGAACTGTTGCCCCAGACCCCACAGCAGAAATTAGAACTGCTCTCCCAAAGAAAGGGCAATTGCAGCTGGTCCTGTTCCAGCCGAGCATGCGACTAGAGTCTATGAGAGCGATGTAAAAACAAGTAGGAAAAACTGAGGGCATCCGTTATCTTGGCGACGTAGCGTTTTCCTAGCCATCCGATTATCGAAAATTAACATCTGGTCTATTGTCTTCTTACTCAAATGCCGTGGATGTGATGACGTGGCTACAGATGAGAGTGGCTGTAAATGACCAAGGGGAGGGGTCCATGGACTGAGGCTGCTGGGCCATTTTGGCTGGAACTCGGGCTGCTATGTATTGGGCTCACTTAGAAAAAGCAATAATAGCGGGATCAGATAGAAGTATCGACAGGGTTTTCAATCATCTCTGGAACGCGAAGAGATTTTTCCCGTCCACAGCAAAAAGCCTCCTTCCAACCACGCAGAGTCAGTCTACATTGTAGCATCTTCGTCAATCAATTCGGTTATTGATTGTCTCCGAGATGCGTAAAATGAAACACAGGCTGACGCAACTCTTTCCAGTTTGATCAGTGGACTGGATTGCCTCTCAGCTGCACAATACTTTGTCCATTCTTTGCCGCCTGATTTTCATATCACGGACAGTTCTATCTGTGGCTCGTGCGGCTACCACTTGCAACTACGCCGGACTTAAAGACTCTGAGAAGTGACTGGACGAAGAATATGGGGAAAATTCAGTAATAAGGATGTTGATATAGTCTCGGAAAGTGTGAGCTTTCTTATGTCTCTATCTCTTTCTTTGACATATCTAAATATTCTAGTTTCACGATCAGAGAAAAGCTGGTGCAGCTTTCGTGGGTACGCACTGGTCTTTGACACTGCCTGCCCACGTCAGAAAAGACCATGATATCGCTCCACATCAGCCAAGCTGCCTGGGTGATAATGCTGCTGCATCACTGCGAGAACTTTCTGCAGCACCTGTTTGGGGTACGTCGCTGTGAGTCATCACAGTAGCCTCCAGTGTCCTGATCTGTCTTGCTTGAGCACGAATGAACTCCATTTGCGCTACGACGCCCAGGTCTGCCTCTTGAATCTGATGTTCTAGCAGTTGTTTCTGTTGGAGAAGAAGCAAGCGTTCTCTGTCTCCTTTTTCCGCTAGAGCACGCGCAGTACTCTCCATTTCGTAATACACATAGTAAATGGCCATAAACCAGCCTGAAATAACCTTGTGAGGCTCTCCATCAATTGAATGTATACTGTCCATGCTTGAATGAGAGCCGGGTGAGGGAAACTTATCTTCTCACGATGAGGGCTTCGCATTGATTTATATTGTAATGAAGACTTGCTGTCAAGTTCTGCAATGCAGAATCATCCGTTGCCTGCAGAAATCGCTCAGCTAGAAGCATGAATGTGGTTGCGTCAGGATTGGGTTCCACTGACTCAGGCACACAAGAGTAAAGATGAGTGCAGAAGTGCTCAGCCAGATGAAACCAAGGGTGACGGAAGGGGATTTGCCGAATTTGGATCGTCGCAGCCCATAAGTGGATATTCGAAATGTGACTTGTAGGCAAGCGCGAATCTACATCCCTAGTGACAGGATGCGCTGCAGATTCAATCTAGCTGCAGAAATTATCCGCGATCTTCACAGATCGCCCTAGTTTCTCGCACCCCCGCTTCTTGGGATCCAATACCGGTAGCACTTTTTGATTCCACATTGTAACTTAGTCCACTACTTGCTTTTACTGTTGGACCAGTTTCGCCTAAGAGATGACCGGATCCTCGCCTTCAACTCGGAGTGACTAGTGATGAATCAGCGCAGACGAAGAATCGATATGGAGAGACACAAACGGGGCGTAAAACGCGGCTTCCCCCTCTTGGCTTTTAGGCGCACTGAACGATCTTCACCGGGACATCGGATACGGATTAGCGTAGACTGACTGTATTTGGACTTTCTTTTTGTTGTGATCACACAAACCTGTGAGTTACCTTCCATAATATCTATGAGCCAGATCTAGCTACTTAAGTGTTCGCAGTAAGAAGTTTAAGTTCAAATTCAAAAGGCACTCGCTTTCTGTTCCTGTCCCTAGAAAAGGCAGGCTTTTCTATGCTTGTGCTGCATCCCACATGACATCGTTCGAAGCTTCCGCGACCATTGGCTACTCACTTGTTCTTTTTGGAGTTGCGTTCATGGTCTTGTGCTACAATTTCAGATCTGTACTGATTGCTTTGCAAGGCGTTGTGCGCAAACCGCTACTAAAACATTTATCATATCCGCCTGTGGTTCACAGTCTACGTTTCAAACTGCAATGGAGCCGAGCCGAGTGCTTGGCTGAGCTGGCCTACCTAGGCTTCGGGATATTTTGTGTCTGTTTCAAAAGCTACACGCTCGAATCATCCAGCCGCCGAGCGGCGAACATGTGCATTGGCAACCTCGTGTTTCTATGCGTCACACTGCATCTTGACACCTTGACCAATCCGCTGGGAATTCGGTGGCACACAGTTCGCAGAGTTCATGGATCTTTCGGGATCATGGCAATTCTAC